GATGGGCTGATGTGGCAGAGCCAGAGGCTCATCTCTGAGAGGCATGTCTGACTTGGTTTGTACCTTGAGGATTTGTCGGATATCTGTAGATGGAAAGGGGCATTCGGGGCAGCCACATGGGCATGAGCGTGGAGACAGGAGAGTGCAGCATATTTTTATGTGTGTTCATATCTTCATCTCCCAGCATACAGGTTAAGATTAAGCAAGTCTGGAATGACTGAATGCTTATAAGATTACAACTAGTCTGTTGGGTGAGGCAGACCAGGGGGTGATATAATAACAACCTGCTTCTGAGTGTTTTCTGTGTGGGAGGCACTGTTCTAAGTGTTTTATGTGTATTGACTTATTTAATCCCTGTTAGAACAGCTTTGTTGGGAATATAATGATCCCAGTTTTACAAATGGGTTCATGGAAGTACAAGGAGGTTACTTGTCTCAATATACATAGCTAATAGGGGGTAGAGCTGGAATTTATATTCTTAGCAACATGTTCTTAAAGCAAGAAAGAATGAAAAAGTGGTTTTTATTCTGAATGCAATCACCAGAGCGCTATGGGTTTTTGAGGCCTGAGTTGTGTCAGGATCCATGTGTTAGGTAGATTTATCTTGGGATTGAAGAGAGAGAGAGAGACCAGTAAATGCCAAGTGTTGTTGTCTGTGTTAATTTAAGAGGTGCACAGAGGATCTGAGCTACAGCAGTATATAGGAAAGGAGGGGTGGAAATGACAGTTTGTCAGCAGATTGGTTTTGTGCTGTGCTGGTGAGAGGTGTTGGAGAGTTCTCTGAGCAACCTGGGAGGATACCCATGCTTCCCAAATTAGGAAGCCTGAAGAAAAGAGGTCTGTATTTCAGAGACATTTGAGTGCAAGTGTTTAGGGGAACTTCAAAGTGAAGGTTGGTGCCGGCAGTAATTTTGGATAATGTCAAGGCCCTGTTTTATTTTTTAAATACAGTGAGTGTTGAGTTCTTTCCTTTTTAAGCCAAGACATTTGCAGAACTTTGGAAAGGGGAGCTGGAGAAGTGTCAGATTTTTCCTGATTTGGAAAATTTCTTTTATAATGTAAAATGGTTGCTAACATTATTAGAATTCTGTTAACCTAGGAATAGTTACGTCTTTATGGGAGCCCTGATAGCACAAGGAGACCATAATCTAGCACACTGCCTTATGGCTGTCCCACTGCTCTGGTAGATTGTGCAACAAGGACATAGATCCAGGACCAGTGGAGCTCAATTTTTTTTGGCAGCTGTTAGAGTACATGGTAGAATATAATAAATGTGTCTTATGCTTGGTTGGCTGTCAGTGTTGAAAGATACTCACTTAGAGATGTCCTATAAATTGAATTACAGGTATATAGAAAGTTGGTGGGCATGATTGGATCTAAAATTGGAAGCATCTGCATTAATTAGTAACAAATCATTTAAAATTTTCCTGTTTCTACAATTGAGCAAATAAATGTTCTTATATTTTCAGGACAAACATTTTCCTATAGGGGAAATGCTACAAAGTACCCTTCTCATTTCTTTGTTTTCTCATTGCTGTGCTTTCTCTCCAGAGTCTTAGATTCTCAAGTCACATCTGCCTTAGCTGCCTCACATTGCAGTTTCTATCACTGGCCCCGTGAGGTTGCTGAAAGTGGTGCTGCCAGTTCTTCCTCTCAGCCATGCCCTTCCTTGCACACTCTCAGGCTTTCCCAGCTCCATGCCACCCCCCAGCCCAACCCCAGCAAACACTGCAGATGCCCAGGGCGGGGAGAGCACCTGCCTCCCTGTGGTTCCCTTCCTTCTCTCCTGGGTCTTGGTCCCTCAAGTCTAGGTTTTCGCCACAACTCTCCAGCGCCATTGGACACATGCTTTGCTATTTAATTTACTTTTTCTAGCTGCTTTTGGTGAGGACCTTGATGTACTACAAGGTACATTGTTGTACCTAGAGCAGAAGGATTTTAAATCATTATGTGCAATTGTTAGACATATGCAAAAAAAAATTGTTTCTGTACCCTTAATTTCTCAAAAAATGCTTCATATGTATTAATGATTTTTTATAGGTTGTTCTATTGTCCCCAGTTCCAGAACTAAGGGATTCTTCAAAAATTCATGATTCTCTTTATAATGAGGAGTGTACTTTCCAGCAACTTGGAACTTACATCCATTCTATAAGAGACCCTGTCCGTAACAGAGTAACTCTGGTAAGTGTATTTATTTTTAAAAGATTAGGGAGCTTTCTAAGAAACATGACTGTCCTTTCAAATTTGTCAGAAATACAATATTTTGTCTGAAAAATGAAAACAAACATTTCCCATGATTTAAAAAATCTCTTGCATGTATTTTTTTGCATAGTTTTACTTCAAAGTAATTCTTAACTTCTCTAAAGTTTACATATGAAAAACTTTTAAAAACAAATCTTGTTCAATCAGTTGAATTTTACATTGATGTAATTTTTTTCTTTTCATTAAAAGTTAGTCTTTTTGGTGATGGTGTCTCTCAGTGTCTATAAAAATTAGACACATTAAAACAATTTTTGGAAGTGTTTTTCAAATAAGCACATTTATAGTTTTGAGACTTAGAAGTGTACAGTTTTTGAAAAATGTTCTTTGTTTTCAAAGCCTTTTGCTTTGATAGGCAGTCTTATAAAGCATCAGCTTTTTTTGAGACATTCAAAAACTTAGAATGCACAAATTCCATTACTTGCTCGTTTGTTTTCATTCTTTTCACCAGGAACTAAGTAATGGCTCCATGGTTAGGATCACTATTCCTGAAATTGCCACTTCTGAATTAGGTATGATTGAGGATCACACCTCACTTTTGTGTATGTTCAGTTTGATTTTGTTTTGATTTGGAGTAATTGCTGATTTACATTAATAACTGGGGTTTTTAAAGGTTTTCTGTTTTTGAATCCATGTGATTGGTTTGTTTACTTGTCAGAGAAGCTCTGAAGAGCTGGGGAGCATTTTGCAAAGTCCTCTCGGTGTGCGCTAAGGCTGGGGTACATTTGAAGGATATGGTAGTGCTGCTTGTCTGAGGTTTCTTGTCTTGAAGAATGCCAGCGGAGTGGCAGTGCGATTGCTTCTTGCAAGAAATCTGGGAAACAGGAAACCTAAGCAACTACAATAGCTTTTGGTATATGTGATGGTTTTTAATCCTAAAACAAATCTCTCAGTTATTAGGTAAATTGAGAAATTAGCATAATTGCCTTAATTTAATAAAACTTAATACTATAATTAAAATGCAATCAGAAGTATTTTAATAAAATTGGAGTCTGGTTGAATTGTTGAAATGCAATTTGGAACATACCAGATGGAGGATATTTCTGAATGTAGAATAGTAAAGAAAACTTTAGAATGAAAGGATTTGCTAACAGATGTAAGCTAAGAGAATACGGTCTGGTATAAAAATATCATGATATCTGTTAGCTTAAAAATCTAACTGCCAAAGTAAAGCATTGGCAGGTTGTTTGATTTCTGGAATTTGGTAAGTAGGCTAGAATGACTTTCATTTTAGGAAGAAATATCTTTCATTGGTGTGGTAATTGATATCATGAGTTGGTATAGAGATAACCTATATTTAGCCAGTAACTGCAGGTCACGCACCTGGAAGTATAAGCCTAAACAAAGTATATAAAAACAAATAATGGATTACATAAATAGAAAAAAAATAAAAATCTTACTCACTCACAGTCAAATAGAAGTCACATAGTTCATGCACATGTTTCTGTACTTACAAAGCATTCCTCAGCTCCTCAGGCAGTATCTCGTTTACACCTATTTTGGAGTCAACCTTGACAAACTTGATTATTTGATTTTCTAACTATTCCACTTGATTTCAGCCTTTGCTGTGGGTGCATGTGCGCACACAGCAAATTGATGAGGCAAAGGTATGCTGCTGAGGGTGGGTATGGTGACACTGACAGTGGGGAGTGAAGTAAAGAATCCTCTAAAAAGGAGATGAGACCACAGAACATTCCAGTTTAAGATAGCATGGTGAAATAATTTAGAAACTGAATGCTGTCAGAAATAATTAAAAGTTAAAAAACTTTGGTTAACAGGAATGTTAAAAATGTCTTTTAATGCTGGTTAATTGAGCATTGCTAGTTGGGGTTACATGTAATGAATATTATATACTTAAGTATTTAAACAGTATTTCATATATATTTATTCATGTAACAGTTGTGTTTTTGATGGAATGACCTTTAACTCATTTTCCAAACTAGGATGTTTTTGAGAGTGAAATGGGGAGCTCTTAATAATTGCTGGGGCAGTTATTTCTGTCTCAGGTTAACTGGACCATTTGGCTACTTTATTTTTGTTCCAAAATAAATGATCGAGAAGCTGCCAAGACCTCTTGAGCCTGTTGAATTCAGTAGTTGGTTTAGGTTTCAAGTGATTGCCAAGGTAATGTCTGCATCCCATTGACTCTTTAATGACAGGTCTCTTTTCAGAGTAATTGGTCTTATACAATAGTAGGCAAAAAACTTATCAAAAGGGGAAAAGAAATGCGTGCATGGGAAACATACTAAATTAATCTTTGCTTTTAATAGTCCAAACATGTTTGCAAGCAATTAAGTTTATCCTGCCAAAAGAAATAGCCGTTCAGATGCTTGTCAAGTGGTACAGTGTCCACAGTGCTCCGGGAGGACCCAGTTACCACTCAGAGTGGAATCTATTTGTGATTTGCCTCATGAACATGATGGGTTATAACACAGACCGCTTAGCATGGACCCGAAATGTAAGTATATATGATTGTTTTTCTTTCTTAGTTATTCTGTTGTCATCAATATAATGTTTGTATAACTGGTAGTACGATATTCAGAGTAACAGATCAATTTACTAAAAGGCATGTATTTTCCTCAACAGAATGGCATGATACTAAGGCTGTTGTAATTTATATATTGTAGGTTAAATATCACTGAATATTTAATAACTTTTACTACTTATAATTATTGAGTTTTTTAATGTAATGCATGTTTGACTCTTATTTCTCATTTCATCTTTGTGAAATGACTGTAAGTTATGCTAGGACTAGTAGTAATAGTCTTGACTTTATTAATGAAGAAAGTGAATCATAAAGTCACCATAGAGTGGAGGTTTGCTCAAAACTAGGCCTGGACTGTGTCTTCAGATATGTGGCTTAGTGTTTTTTTCTGGAGCCCAGACTCTTGCTTCTTTCACATATACATTGCTTGGTCTGGGAGGAGGAAAGTTTGATTTGAGGGG